GTGGAGAGTCTGCAGGGGAGCCTCTGTGGGAGGGAACGAGGAGGATTGAGGAGCGGCGCGCTGCCGCCCCTCGACACAGGGAAGACAGGGAGGAGCAGGCGAGCGTGGGAGGGGAGGGAGAACCCTGAGAAGACCAGAGACAAGGACACGGCGATGCATGCTGCGAAGGCGCTGCACCGAGGGGTGACCAAGGCGGTGGTGCCAAAGGAGGGTCTGATGCGACAAGGCGCGACACGAGCAGGGGGCCGACAACTGACCTGAAGCAGACGCAGACGCAGCTACCTGAGGGGACTTAGTGGTCTTGGTGTACAGGCTCGAGCCAGGCTCACGGGTAAACGTGGCCAGGTGTCGGCCCGTCTGAGCACACGTACAGTGAGTCACTCGCTGACTCGCAGGAGTGAACTGGTCAACCCCCCATCCTGGAGGTCAGCTCCACTCACCAGGTTCGTAGAGAACGAGGGGAGGTAGAGACCTGACAGCAAGCCAGACGGGGCGGCCGGACACGGCAGAACCGTGGAGTAGTGGGCAAGGACTGGACCCCCAGAGGGGTCTGCCAGGGAGACTGCAACTGGCCGACTAAGCGGCGTGAGTGTGGTGCAGTCGCGAAAGAAGGAGCGGGAAGCTCCTGAGTCAAGGGTGAAGGTGTGCAAGGTCGTAGTAGGCGAAGTACCAGAGAGAGCAGACTCACCAGCGCCTGGAGCAGCAGCCTCACCAGCACCTAGAGCAGGAGACGCACTAGCACCTAGAGCAGCAGCCTCACCAGCACCTAGAGCAGCAGGCTCTATACCTGGGTCAGGCGGTACGCACAGGTAACAGGCACGGTCAGCACTAGTAGGCAATGCATACATGGCAGTGAGAATAGCATCATAGTCAAGAGTAAATATATCTACCCTCTGCCCAAGCAGCTCCACCCAGTCCGGGAGCTCAGCTACGTCGCCAAACTCGGTACGCCAGGCGTCGCTCAGACGGGCGAAGCAGCGGGACTGTGTGTGACTAAGCGTCCCGCAAGTCTGACCAGTCCGAGCACCAGTCCGAATGACGTAAGGGCAGCGAACGGTACTGAGAGACCCTCTACTCTGGGCGTACCACTCACGAAGCTGCTGGGGCGTGCGAGACTTGCGCGGACGTCGCTGGAGCTGCATCTGGCCGCCGCCAGTAGCAGCAGTAGCAGTAGTAGCAGCAGTAGCAGCAGTAACAGCCGTAGCAGCAGTAGCAGCAGTAGCAGCGCGGCCACCCCTACAACCCCAACTAGCGTACCATTCACTAAGCTGCTAAGACGTGAGGGACTCACGCGGACGTCGCTGGAGCTGCATCTGGCCACCGTCAGTAGCAGCAGTAGCAGTAGCAGTGGCAATAGCAGTAGTAGTAGCAGCAGCGCGTGCAGGGCAGGCGCGACAGGCAGGCAGGCAGGCAGGCAGGCAGGCCGGCAGGCAGGCAGGCAGGCAGGCCGGCAGGCAGGCGGCGGGCAGGCAGGCAGGCAGGCAGGCGGCGCGGCAGCGCGCTAACAAGGCAGTTGCTCACCAGTGGCGGGAACAGCAGGCGCTCACCGGGCGAGCAGTGTCAGAATCCCAACCACTAGACCATTGGGATAAAAGGGCTTGTTAAGTAGCGGGTCAGTGCGCCCATAACCCCCCAGGACAACGACGGACGGCCCCCCAAGCAGGGCCGGTGCTCGGCGGACGGCGGCAGGGTCGGCGCACGACGGCAGCGACGGCGGGGCCGCAACAGCGGCTACAGTGAAGGGCTGCGTCAGCTGCAGGGCTGGGGCCACGACAGCGGCAGGTCAGGGCCGCGGCAGTTGCTGCAGGGCCGGGTCGAGTCAGCGGCAGGGCGGGGCCGTGTCGGCTGCAGGGCGGGGCCGGGTCGTGTCAGCGGCAGGGCGGGGCCGGGTCGTGTCAGCGGCAGGGCGGGGCCGTATCGGCGGCAGGGCGAGGCCGTGGCGGCGGTAGGGTGGCGCGCGCCGCTGCCTAGGGCCGCGCACTGGCGGGCAGAGCGCGGCGCGGGCTGCGCGGACGGCGCGCAGCCCGCTGCGGGCCGCGGACGCGCCGCGCGGGCTCTGGGTGGGCTGCGCAGGGCAGCGGCGGGCCGCGCGCGCGCTGCGCGGGCTCGGTGCGGGCCGCGCGGGGCAGGTGTGGGCCGCGCGCGCGTCGCGCGGGCTCGGGGCGGGCTGCGCGGGGCAGCTGCGGGCCGCGCGCGCGCTGCGCAGGCTCGACGCGGGCTGCGCGGGCCGTGCGTGGGACGCGACGCGGCTGCCGAGGCGCGATTCGGGCAGGAGAGGGCGACCCGCGGGGGTAAAAACGAGGCAGCGCGCTAGAATTAGGTCTGCGCGCGAAGCAGCAGCAGACAGCTCAGACAGTAGACAGCAGGCAGATAGTGCGCGCAGCGCAGCACGTCCTAGGCACAGTGACAGGCACATTCGTGGGGTAGCGGTAGGTGGGCCCGAAAAAAAAGACGGTCCTACGGACCTACTGCTCTGAAACCGTGTCAGAAGTATAGGCAGGAATGAATGAACTATGGAAGAGTTGGGTACAAATGTCAAACCCTAGAAGGGGTTGTACCCCATATTGGCTACCCCACTACAGCCTAAACATATATAGCATACATAATCTGACAGACGCAGGAGGAGACGGCAGAGGGACACGCAGTGGAACAGAGGAAGGACGAAGTGCCATCTGGTGCGTGCCGGGGATAGGAGGAGGACGCTCACGAGGAACCCGACGACCAGTTCGAGCAGCGCAAACAGGCGACGCAGGACGAGACTCAGGCTCACGACGCTCCGCTAGACCTCCGGTCGGCTCAGTGTAGGGAGAAGGACCAGGCAGTGGGGAGGCGGGCTGTAACTGCGACTGCGAGTGGTCAGGTGGTGGACACAGTAAGGGAGGAGTAGGACCAGTAGAAGGCGGGAGACCAAGAACTTGCTGTAGGAGTGGAACGAAGTACGGCCGCGCAGCACCGCCACAACCAGCAGAGACAGCACCAGTACCCCCAGCTCCAGGGTTTCCAGCTCCAACTCCTGCAGCACCACCGGCTCCAACACCTCCAGCAGCTCCAGCTCCAGCAGCACCTCCAGCAGCAACAGCTCCAGCGCCTCCAGCTCCAACTCCTGCAGCACCACCAGCTCCAGCAGCTCCAGTACCTCCAGTACGAGCACCTCGGGGACCAGCAGCTCCTGTACCTTCAGCAGCTCCAGCAGCAGCAGTAACTCCAGCTCCAGTAGCACCTCCAGCTCCAGCAGCTCCGGTACCTCCAGTAAGAGCACCTCTGGGACCAGCGCCTCCAGCACCTCCAGCAGCTACAGCACCAGCAGTGCCTCCAGCGCCAGCAGCACGGCTCCAGCGCCTAGCAAACCACTCGCGCAGCTGCGGTGGAGAGAGTGGCTCCCGCCTTGACAAGACACCCGAAGGACCTCCAGAGGACAAACCTCCAGGCGCAGCACGCTCAGGCTCAGCACCCCCAGGCTCCGCACGCTCAGGCTCAGCACCCGCAGGCTCCGCACCCTCAGACTCAGCAACCCAAGGCTCAGCACCCCCAGGCTCCGCACCCTCAGACTCAGCAACCCCAGGCTTAGCACCCCCAAGCTCCGCACGCTCAGGCTCAGCACCCCCAGGCCCCGCACCCGCAGGCTCAGCACCCCTAGCAGCACCAGACTTGATAGCTACCTCGACAGGCTCGACAGGGTCTACCTGAGACACACCTGAGGGGGAAGGACCCTGAGGGAGAAGGGGGTCTACCGGAGGAGGACCTGGTGCTAGGAAGAGCGACGGGGGGGGGGGAGAGGGGCAGTGCGGTAGGGGAAGAGATGGTAGTAAGGAACCGACTCATCAAACGTGACGTCCTGAGAGGACAGAATACGACGCGAGGTGGGGTAGTAAAACTGCCAACCAGGCACGTCAGGGGGGAAGCCAAGGAAGACGCAGGGAACAGCACGGGATGACAGCTTGTCCGTGGAAGAATCGCGGACAAAAGCTCGTGATTCCCAGAAACGGAACGCAGACGCATCGCCAACCTTCCCCGTCCACCGCAGAGCAGGTGTGGTCTCCGTGTCGCGATATATATTTATATATGTTTATAATTGCCTGTAGCTTTAGCTCTAGTGTAGTTATGTTTCCTTGTTGGTGGTGCACCTTTGCTAGTTTGCTATATGTACCTTGTGTGCTATAGTGAACTACACACATTCTCAATCCTGCTTGGCACAACTCTCTCGACACTCGCTTGGCCTAGGCTTCTAAGCCTAGGCCCTAACCCGGTTCCTAAGTTAAGATTGTATTGTAACATGGTATCAGAGCTAGACCGTCCTATGGGCCCACCGCCCCGTGCCCCGATCTAGTCCGTAGCGGCCGTTTGCCCCGCTCGCGTCACCCGTTTTGCCCCGTGCGTCAGCAGTTTTCTCACCCGCGCTTCACCCGTTCTCTGCCCCGTGCGTAGCTCGCCAGCCCACTAGCGCGCAGCAGACGCATGCGCACGTGCAATCGTAGCCGCACATGCGACCGCGCGCACGCGCATCATTAGCCGCATGCACGTGCAGCATTAGCCGCACGCACGCGCGGCATTAGCAGCACGCATGCGTGGCCATAGCTGCATGCACGCGCAACAATAGCCGCTCGGACACGCAGCTCGTCAGCTGCGCTACCGTCTCACCCGTCCCCGCTGACCCACCCGGTGCCCGCTGTACAACCCGTTCCAGTCACCTCACCCTGAAGTCAGCCGCCCCACCAGCTACTTTACCCCGCACCCCGCCCGCCGCCCGTGCGCCACCCGCACCACGCACCCCGCCGTCACCACTACTGCGCGCGCCTACACATGCTGCTGAGTTTGCGCGAGAGTGGGGAAGGGCGGGGGGGGCGGCATCGGGAATGAAGGGGACGCCGTTCGTGGCGGTCGTCGCGGCCCTTCCCCCCCCGTCCCGTTTTCTTCCCTCCCGTCGCCTTGCTCCGCCTGTCGCATTCCCCCGGCCCCCTGCCCGTCAACCCCCCCCCCCCCCCCCCCCCCGTCGCGACTGTTCACGTGTGCAGCGGCGATCGCTGTGGGGGGGAGAGGGAGGAGGGGAAGGGATTGGCGGCGGAACGCTGTGGGGGGAAGAGGGAGGAGGGGAAGGGATTGGCAGCGGAACGCTGTGGGGGGGAGAGGGAAGGGGGAAGGGAGTGGCGGCGGAAAACCAGGGATCACCGCCAGAGCACCGGCGATCGCACCAGCGCTTGCGCGCCTCCTACTGTCAGATCCCGCCCAGCCTGTAGCCCGTCTCCAGCTCGTCCCACCCGTCGCGCCCCATCAGCACCAGGCACCAGGCACCAGCACCAGGCACAGGGAACCAGCACCAGCGCCAGCCGCCAGCACCAGGAACCAGCACCAGCGCCAGCCGCCAGCACCAGGGACCAGCACCAGCGCCAGCCGCCAGCACCAGGAACCAGCACCAAGGCCAGCCGCCAGCACCAGGAACCAGCACCAGCGCCAGCCGCCAGCACCAGGAACCAGCACCAGCGCCAGCCGCCAGCACCAGGAACCAGCACCAGCACCAGCCGCAAGCACCAGGCACCAGCACCAGCGCCAGCCGCCAGCACCAGGCACCAGCACCAGCGCCAGCCGCCAGCACCAGGCACCAGCACCAGCGCCAGCCGCCAGCACCAGGCACCAGCACCAGCGCCAGCCGCCAGCACCAGGCACCAGGCACCTGTGACCAGCAGCACCACCTGTGACCAGCAGCCCCACCTGTGACCAGCAGCCCCACCCGTGCCCAGCAGCCCCACCTCTGACCAGCAGCCCCACCCGTGCCCAGCAGCCCCACCTCTGACCAGCAGCCCCACCTGTGACCAGCAGCCCCACCTGTGACCAGCAGCCCCACCTGTGACCAGCAGCCCCACCTGTGAAGAACTGGACAGGGACCATCGTGGGTGGGGAGGGGTCTGGAGGAAGAAAAGGAGGGAGGGAGTGCGGTTCCAGGGGGCGGTTGAAATGGGGGGTGAGGTTACAGGGGGTTGGTTGATTGGGGGTGGGGATGTGGGGGTTAGTAAGAGGGGAAGCTGCGGCCACCCCCCCACCTCCACTCCTCATCCCCCACTCAACCCCCCCCCTGTGTAAAAGGGGGTTAGTAAGAGGGGACGCCGTGGCCACCCCCCCCACCTCCTCTCCTCATCCCTCACTCACCTCCTCCTTTGTTCTTATCTCCTCTCCTCCCCTGTCTCTCTCTCGCCTCCTCCTCCTCACTTACCTCTCTACCGTCTTTCACAACGCCTGCAATACCCCTTCAGGGGGTGTGACTTACTCTAGCTATGTGCTGCAGGCAGTTAAGGGGGTGTGTCGCGATATATATTTATATATGTTTATAACTGCTTGTAGCTTTAGCTCTAGTGTAGTTATGTTTCCTTGTTGGTGGTGCACCTTTGCTAGTTTGCTATATGTACCTTGTGTGCTACAGTGAACTACACACATTCTCAATCCTCCTTGGCACAACTCTCTCGACACTCGCTTGGCCTAGGCTTCTAAGCCTAGGCCCTAACCCGGTTCCTAAGTTAAGATCGTATTGTAACACTCCGGCACGGAGACACAGGGCTGGAGGTTGAGCTGATGCGCACCGTACTGGACCGCGAACGGCCACAGAAAATGGGGAGCAGCCGAATGGATCATGGACGTACGAGCGACGTCCATGACCATGCCAATGCGGCGCTCAGAAATCCCATTCTGCTGTGGGGAGGCCGGAAGCATGAACGTCTGGCGGATGCCCTCCGCACGACAGAAGGCCCGCCGAAGGTCGGAGTAAAACTCTCCACCTCTGTCAAAGTGCAAACGCAGAACAGGAAAGTTCGAGCCGAAACTCTCTCTGAGTTGGTGACGGGCAGCGCGGATCCATGTGATTAGCACCTCAGACTTCACCCTTGCGGCGCAAGGGGAAGACTGTGGTGTAACGCGAGTAGTCGTCAACGACCAGCAGAAAGTAACGCTCGTGACCCTGTCCACGGACGCGGGCTGGGCCCCACACGTCCATGTGGAGAGTCTGTAGGGGAGCCTCCGTCGGAGGGAACGAGGAGGAGTGAGGAGCGGCGCGCTGCCGTCCCTCGACGCAAGGAATGCAGGTAGGGGCAGGCCCCGGTGGGAGGGGAGGGAGAGACCGGGGGAGACCAGAGACAAGGAGACGGGAGGCCATACCTCGGAGACGAGACAGGGAGGGGTGACCAAGGCGGTGGTGCCAAAGGAGAGTCCGGTGTGACAAGAGACGACACGAGCAGGGGGCAGACTCTGGATCAGACCTGGACGCGGCAGCAAACATCTGACTAGACGCGGCTACCTGACCAGACTCAGCAACGGGAGGAGACTCAGTAGTCAGTGTGTACAGGCTCGACCCAGGCCGACGGGTGAACGTGGCCAGGTGGCGGCCCGTCCGAGTACACGTACAGTGGGTCATCCGCTGACCTCCAGGAGTGAACTGGTCAACCCACACGTCCTGGAGGTCAACTCCACTCACCAAGTTTGTAGAGAACGAGGGGAGGTGAAGACGTGACAGTGAGCCAGACGGGACCGCCGGACACGGCAGAACTGTAGAGGAGTGCGCAAGGCTTGGGTCCCCGGAGGGGTCCGCTAGAGAGAGTGCAACTAGCGGACTGAGCGGCGTGAGTGTGTTACAGTACGATCTTAACTTAGGAACCGGGTTTAACTAAGGGCCTAGGCTTAGTAGCCGAGGCCAAGCGGGTGTCGAGGTGGTTGTACCAAGGAGAATCGAGAATGGAATGGTTTCACTATAGCACACAAGGTACATATAGCAAAAGAGCAACAGTCACCACCAACAACAAGAAGGCATAACTACACTAAAGCTAAAGCTACAGGCAGTTATAAACATATATAAAATATATATCGCGACACACCCCCTTAACTGCCTGCAGCACATAACTATAGCAAGTCACACCCCCGGAACCTGGGCAAGAGGTAGAAGAAGCAGGGGAAACACCAACACAGATCAGCCATGATAAATGCAACAACGGCAGGTGCAGGACCCGAGAGGTGGGCGTGAGAGCAAGCGCCGTGGCTGCAACGAGCAGCTGGACAGCCCGGCTCAGCACCTCCGGGGGCGTGCCTGCTACAGGCAGCAGATGCAGTGATGGTAGATAGAGACACAGTGACCTCAGCCATGGCAGATGCAGCAGCAACAGGTGCAGGACCCGGCAGGTGGGCGAGAGAGCAGGTGCTGTGGCTGCAACGAGCAGCTGGACAGCACCGCTCAGCACCTCCGGGGGCGTGCCTGCTACAGGCAACGGCTGCAAATGCCCGACTTACTTCTTCCACCCCCTTACCAGCCACTCAACCCCTCTGGTGCCGGCGGCTGCGCTTGGGCTGGTTCCTGGTGCTGGCGGCTGGCGATGGGGCTGGTTCCTGGTGCTGGCGGCTGGCGCTGGGGCTGGTTCCTGGTGCTGGCGGCTAGCGCTGGGGCTGGTTCCTGGTGCTGGCGGCTGGCGCTGGGGCTGGTTCCTGGTGCTGACGGCTGGCGCTGGGGCTGGTTCCTGGTGCTGGCGGTTGGCGCTGGGGCTGGTTCCTGGTGCTGGCGGCTGGCGCTGGGGCTGGTTCCTGGTGCTGGTGGCTGGCGCTGGGGCTGGTTCCTGGTGCTGGCGGCTGGCGCTGGGGCTGGTTCCTGGTGCTGACGGCTGGCGCTGGGGCTGGTTCCTGGTGCTGGCGGCTGGCCTTGGTGCTGGTTCCTGGTGCTGGCGGCTGGCGCTGGGGCTGGTTCCTGGTGCTGACGGCTGGCGCTGGGGCTGGTTCCTGGTGCTGGCGGCTGGCGCTGGGGCTGGTTCCTGGTGCTGGCGGCTGGCGCTGGGGCTGGTTCTCTGCTGGCGGGGTTCTCTGCTGGCGGGGTTCTCTGCTGGCGGGGTCTCTGCTGGCGGGGTCTCTGCTGGCGGGGTCTCTGCTGGCGGTGTCGCTAGCGTCGTAGCTGCTGGCGGTCCTGCCATGCCCTTCCCCCGCTTCCCTCTCCCCCACAGCGTTCGGCCGCCACCTGCCCCTTCTTCCCTTCCCCCCCCAACAGCGACCGCCGCTGCACACGCGAACAACCATGACGGGGGGAGGGGGGGGGTGACGGGCAGGGGGCGGAGGTAATGCGATGGGCAGAGCGACGGCGGGATAAGGAGCGGTTGGGGCGACGGGAAGCAGCGCGACGGGCGACGGTGCAGGTGATGTCGGCGGGTCCATTTGCGGGCTCGCTGGCTGGCCCGTTGGCGGGTTCGACGGCGGGGTCGCAGGCGCGTGGGCGAACGCGTTGGCGATTTCGCTGGCGGGCCACTGGCGATTTCGCTGGCGGGTTGTTGGTGGGTCCGCTGGCGGACGCAAGCACCGTGATAAGACAAGCGACGGGACGGCCGCGCACGCAGGCGACGAGCTGTAGCAGGGCAGCGCGACGAAATGGTGCAGGCGGAATGCGGGGCGACGGGTTAATGTACGACGGGCGACACGCTGCAGAAGCGGATAGCTCGCGGGCGGCGGGATGCAGCAGCGGGTATCGCGTGGGCGACGGGCTGAAGGCAGGGAAGCCCTCATGAGGCGCACTATGGGCCGCACAACGTGGCGCGCCATGGCGAGAGGCTAGCGGTGGGCCCATAAAAATCGGTCCTTAGGAAGGAACCGCTCTGATACCATGTTACAGTACGATCTTAACTTAGGAACCGCGTTTAACTAAGGGCCTAGGCTTAGTAGCCTAGGCCAAGCGGGTGTCGAGGTGGTTGTACCAAGGAGAATCGAGAATGGAATGGTTTCACTATAGCATACAAGGTACATATAGCAAAAGAGCAACGGTCACCACCAACAACAAGAAGGCATAACTACACTAAAGCTAAAGCTACAGGCAGTTATAAACATATATAAAACATATATCGCGACAGAGTGTGGTGCTGTCGCGAAAGAAGGAGCGGGAAGCACCTGAGTCAAGCGTGAAGGTGTGCAGGGCCGCGGCAGGGCGCACAGGGCGCTGCAGAGGCTACTCGGGCAGGGCAGGGAAGGGCGCCAGTGCGCGCAGGGCAGGGCGGTGGCGCGTTGGCAGGGCAGGGCGCTGGCGCGAGTGCAGGCCCGCGGCGGGCGCAAAACGCAGGCACGGCGGGCGCAAGGGGCGGGCCCACGGCGGGCGTAGCAGACAGGCCCGTGACGGGCCGAACGGGTAGGCGCGGCGGCGCGAAGGCAGGGCCCGCGGCGGGCCTAACGGGGCAGGGTAGGGCGTGCGCGATGCAGCGTGACGCGGGGCAGGGCAGGGCGTGCGCGGGGCAGCGCGACAGGCAGCGGGCGCGGCGGCGGCAGGGAGCGGGCGCGACGGCGCGCTTAGCAGGGCGGATGCTTACCAGGGGCGGGTGCAGGGCAGGGCCGCGACGGGCGGTTAGGTCAGGGCCGCAACGGGGCGGCTGTAGGGTAGGGCCGCGACGAGGCGGCGGTAGGGCAGGGCCGCGACGGGGCGGCAGCAGGTCAGGGCCGCGACAGGTGGCGGCAGGGCAGGGCCGCGACTGACGGCGAGGTCAGGGCCGCAACGGGGGGTGGCAGGGCAGGGCCGCGACGGGCGGCTAGGTGAGGCCGCGACGGGCGGCTAGGTGAGGCCGCGACGGGCGGCTAGGTCAGGGCCACAACGAGCTGCTAGGGCAAAGCTACGACAGGCCAAGAGGGCAGGGCCTCTACGGGCGGTAATAGAGCAGGGCGCGCGACGGCGCAGGTGAGGCAGGCGCGAGGCGCGCTTCGGGCAGGGCAGGAAAAACATCGTTATCGCGGTGGGCCCTAAAAAAACGTTCCCACTAGGGAACCTTCTCTGAAACCATGTCAGAATGTAGGAAGAACGAATGACTAGAATGACAGTAGTACAGGGTTTGTATGGCAAAACCTAATTGGGCTGTACCCCATAAAGAGTGCCCCACTACAGCCTAGAGCATAGTTCTGACATTTGAAGGGGGTTCGAAGGGGGGTACAGTTCAGGTGTTTTGGTTGGCGAAGTTCCGAAACGAAATCGCGACCATTTACGGGATGAAATCGGACCGCGTTTGTTTGTCGGAGTCGAAATCAAATCCGCGACTCTGGTACATTTTCGTTTATTTGGAGCGTGCCAAATTTGTTACCCTGTAAAATGTGACTGCTGGAAAACTAAGCTGGCCATTTTACCACAAGATAAATGCATCACATCTGATACTTATTAAGGAGATAGGTACTGTCCAGATGGAATGCCTTCACCACATGGACGTGGCGGAGTAGCGCTTCAATCGGAATCACGGAGTACGCGTACATTCCTGTCGTCCACTTGAGGCGAAGGCATCCTATTACAACATCCTCTCCACTTGCATTCCAATATCTAACGTAAGCGAGCTCCTCCCTCTCTCCACGTATTTTTGTATGGAACAACAGAAGCAACCTTGCATACCACTCCTCTCTCCGACCATACCTTACACCCTCCACTGCAACATCCGACTACAATGACCTCTCAAACTAGTCAGGGGTCGCTCGAACGAAGTGAGAAACTCTTGAGAAGCTGGCGTCGTCTGCTGCAGGGATTGTCATCGATGCATGGGCCTACATAACAATTGATGTTAGTCATGTATGATACGAGCCAACCAAATGATGGTTGATTGGATAAACTTTCAACTACTTACTCGAATCTTGGTGACGCATCTTGCATAACGTATAAGCGCATCCTTGAGGGCAGCTTGGGCACCAGGCTGTTGCTTGGCCCACTTCCTTGCAAACCAGTTGGTGGAGGTGGGTTTTTGTGGTAACTCCACAGGGAGGAAGTATGACTCCTTGATAAGAGTCCGTGTGTCCCGGCCAGCAGGATCATCCACCGGCACCACATCCGGAATGCGCCTAGCATGGAACTTCATGATTTGCCCATCTACATTGCGCTTGTTGGACCGACGGTAGATCCTCTTTACCAACGGTCCATGCAAGTGCTCTAACATGTTGGTGCTGAATTCAGTCACATGACTCGCACGACGAATGGAGTCGATGTAGTGCGACATGAGATGTGTTTTCACAAGGCACCAAGAGGATGGCTGCTTTGGAAGGCAGTCTGCAACTGCTCAACGGGCCTGATGGGAGTGGGAGATGATAACACATGCAATCATATCAGAGTCTACTTATTCATATGGCTTTCCTATTCCTGATCCTTTCTTATCAAAGTTTAGCAGCAACATCCACACAAGATTGCCTACTACAAGAGCACATTTACAGTAGCCAAGCATTCATCCCATGCATAGGGGTTTACATGCGTGGTATTAGTACCGGGAGGTCATCTTCTTCAGCTCCCGGAGGGACCGCTCAGTGTGCCCCTGTGGCTGGGAGCACAGGAGGTACCAGCCAAGATAGGCACGAATGGCATCCATCTGGGGCTGGCGAAGTAGGTTGGCAAAAATAAACACCATGACCTGCAAAGTTTGTGGATAGCAGCAAAGGGGAGGGTGAGCACAGATGGTGTGAGGAGTAGGGACAAAGAGTGGCAGCATGAGCAGACTGGTTGAGGGGCGGTCAGGACAAGCAACAGGGAATGGAGGAGGGGGCAGGGGGCAGGGTGTGTGGGTTTAACATGGATTCGGGTTGCTGTGTGTATCGGGTGCAGCCTATCGCACAAGACGATAACATTCAAGGCTTTCATACCTGCATGACGGCCCTGTGCTCATAGGCTGGGACACATGCTCCGGTCTCGAAGTAGGCGCTCTCCGGCAGGCGCATGTGATTTAGGCGCGTGCGGTCGCAAATGAGTGACAGGCGCTTGCCCATACACATCAGTTCAACGGTGGCACAAGGGCAGAAACATGTCAGTAAGAGGACAGTACTTATGCTTTGAGTAAATGTGACCAAGAGCAACAAATCCAATCCCTAAAACACTGACCTGTCCATCTACTTCACACACCGCTTCTTCATCTTGCGCACGACAGCCACAATGTGGCTCATGATGCTCAGGTCCACCTGGTGCATGATGCCAGGCATGACTACGAGGTAGGGATTGCCCCACGCGGTCCCTGGGACATCCCACTTCCAGAGCACGCACTGGAAATGGGGATGTGGTTTGGAATGTAGGAGAAATGTACTTGTGAGAGTGGATAGCTAACCTAAACCGCATGTGGGGTGAGTTCAATGGGGCAAAGCACATTTGGCAATTCATGACGGTGAACAGTGCATAGACTACACAGTAGCCGCGGAAAGAGGTCACTCACCTCAACAGGGTAGGTAGAGTAGGTCTTGCAAGGGTTGTCCTGGCTAGTTGTCGTCCCAGCCGCCTCGTTAACGATCCATTGCTGCTGTTCAGGCGTGCGCGGCGTGTTCCGTGCCTTGACAGCAACGAGATGCTCCTGGTGTAGCACGGGGGTGAGGGATGGGATACAAACGTAAGGGTGGTAACTATATGGGTTCTATCAGGAGACCCTCAAACGACAATCTATTTGAATGCGTGCACATGACACGTAACCTCACTTTTGCAGCATAGCAGATGCTGCACGGCATCCGCGATCCATGCGAAAGTGTGCAACTGATCTTGGCGCTCTCGGGGTAGTCGCACACCCATGCGTTTAGCAAGGGCCGCACGGTTTGCCAATCACCAAAAGGGTCCCTGAGACGGAACCCGCTGCAAGGAACAGGTAGAGTGGCGACAGGAATTCGGAGGACGGGTTTTAGGGAGGAACTAGGAGAGGCAAAGGGGCATGCTACATACAAAGACGCTTTGCATACTATGCATGTGATTGGGTGATGACATAGCAAGATGCAAACCGAGTACGGACCTTTCCATGCCATCAAGAAGCGGCTGCAGCACGGTGAAGACGCATCGCTGGAAGAGCATCACCTTCTCCACGGCAGACATTGCAGACGGGGGGATAGGAAGGAGGGCAAGTAGTGTGTGCCCGGCTTTCCCCCATCGCTTGGCCTGGGAGATGTTGGCCAGCATCATCATGAGCGGCCACGCCTTCTTCCGGCCGTTGTTGCTCATGTGCGTCACATCCGAATATAGGATGATCCCCCCCACAACTTTGGACCATCCGAAGTGATCCTGCAATGCACGACAAAGTGGCAACGGACACACGATCAAACACTCAAGATTTTCTAGACACATCAGCGCAGCGATGGAGGCATGAGCAAGGATTGGGTTTGGGGTGGCAACGTGGTATTTCCTTGCCTGAGCATCATTCCACCACGTTCCTGTTTCAGGCGTGGTATAGCGACGGCCGCGTGTGTCAGGGTCCTCATCAACACGCGCCTTGACCTTGAAGCCGGGCGCGTTGTTGGGATGCCCAAACATTTCAGCGAATGCCTGGTGTACGGTGGCGAACCCAGGTGAGAGGAGGGGCATGGTTAGTGGCGGTGTAGGTGGGTGTACGGTTAATACAAGGATAACTTCATACACGCAAACCCTGTTTGCCTCATCGGCATTTCACACCCAAGAATTCAGAGTCGGCTTACCCGAGCTGAGTTTTGGAAGAGCAAGCGTTGTGGTGGATGACCGGCAATCTCGAAGGTCGCCACCAACCATCCGCGATTGAGCCCTGCCAAGCGCTCCATCTCGAACCGCTCCAGATCCTTACAGTTCCGGAGCTCCGAGGTCACAAGAGGCGCAAGGCCGGGCTCTACCACGAGCTGAAGCAGGCCGTTGATGTCAACCTCTGCCATTCCCATTCCGCCATTCACGTGCCAAACGAAATGCAGTAGCTTCAAAGCGAGCGGATTGAGGGGCGTGGCATTGCTCTGTCCGGAGATTATTGTCGGCGGCACGGCATGACTCCCTTCAGGCCGGCTCTCAGGATGGTCACTCGTAGGGATGAGAATTTTGCCGAACACCCGTTCGGTTCGACTCGAACATGTTTGGGTCGAACCGAACAGGATTTTTTTTTGCCAAAAAATGTTCAGTTCGAGCATGTGCGTGTTCGCGCGAACATGTTTGGTGTTCGCCGGCCGCGAAGTGCCGAGCCGCGTCGAACACGAACATGTTCGTGTTCGACACGCACATCGACGAACACCTCAGGTGTTCGTCGACGAAAAGGCCGCGACCTAATTTAGGGTCGCGGCCCATTCAATTGTGGCTCATTTTGTAGAGCGTAGCCACCATGTCGTTCCCACCAGCCCGCCCAGCCCACTACCACATACCACATCCACACCTTCTAGTAGTAGCATAGTGCTTAAGTTTGTTCAACTACGGCGTTTAGGCTATCAAGTGATTTCGATGTTTACCAATAGAACGTAGCACCTACTCCAAACTCGTAAGTTGAAGGGGCGGGATTCCATTAGGGTTTCCACCGTTGAAGTGGTTTAGGGCGTTAGGTTTAGTATCAATGTGACACTCCCCTCTCCACACCTCGCTGCCGCGTTACCGTTCTAGAGAGGGTGTAGGTTATTTCGGCGGTCGCGGAAATGTCCACCCACAAACAAGTTAGTGTAGGGCGGGGTGGTCGCGGTGTAAGTCAGGCCGGTGCTCCATCGTCTGCACCACGTCCTATGCAGGGTCGAGTAGGTGACGGCCCTGGAGGAGTGGGTGCTTGTTTCGTCGGTGGGCTACTGTCCATGCCGGTGCCGTCAACCCATCGTTCGTTCCGTTACTCGGGTTCTCGACCCCGTACTTCTGGGCAGACGCGCACCACCACTCGGACTGATAGTGTGGCGGACGAGGAGGAGGAGGGGGACGATGAGGGGGACGATGAGGGGGGCGATGAGGGGGAGGGAGAGGAGGAGGAGGAGGACAAGGAGGGGAGCGGTGATGATAGTGAGCCGGGGTGGACACCCCGGGCGCATGGCGGTGCTGGGGATGGTGGAGGAGATGAAGACGAGGAGATGGAAGGGTTGGAACCTGAGGGGGTGGAGGAGGGGGTTGGTGAGGGAGGAGGGGTTGCCGCGGCTGCCGCAGAGGAGGCATCTCAGCATGTGGGTAGAAAGCCAGTGCGTGGCGGTGGCGGTGTTAAGGTTGGGCGAAAGAGGCCGTTAGTTGGGAACAGGAAGAAGAAACCCGAGAAGCTGCGGACCCGAGCGTATCCTTGCACCTTCAAAGGGGTGTATTTGAGCGAGGGTTTGGTTTCTCCAGAGTTTCTTGACGAGGAGGGAGAGCAAGAGAGCAGCAGGGGGAGTGGCAAGGGGAGGAGGAAGCCGGGGTGGCAAGTTCAGATGTTTGGGCCTTTGGGGACCGACGACAAACGGCAATGCAAGATTTGCACAGATCGGATCTCGTGGAAGGGCTCTACACCTACACCAGGCGAGCGCCACTTTGAGAGCTACCATACTGCTCATATGGATGTGTGGTTCCACCGTTTCCACAATCCACATCTGCAACTGCCGGACGAGACGTTTCCGAGGGGGGGTTACGTCGGAGTGCCTGATGGCTACGTGTATTATTGGCCACATGCAGAAAGCTGGCCAAACATCCCAAAGAAGGGAGGGAAGGCAGAGGGGCGAGGGGCAGCGGGGTCAGGCAAGGCTGGGATCAAGAGCTACATGTCGAAGAAGCTGTCAGAAGTGGAGCTTCGTCAAGCGATCGCCAAGCTGGTGGTGACCTGCGACCTGCCCTTCAAAATTGTGGAGGCTAAGGAGGTAAGGGTATAGGGCTGCTGGGCGTGGCTGGTGTGGTCTGGTTGGTTGGCTCGGACGTGGCAGTTTGCAAGTTTTGTAGAGACGACGAGCGCATGATGTTGAGGGGAGGGTGTTGGGTTGGGTTGGGTTGGGCATTCACAACTGTTAAGCGAGACTCAACGCATGCTCGTTGTATGATCTCCCTGCACCCACCCCACCAGTTTCGCGAGCTTCTGATCCTGTGCAACCAGCACTGCGGGCAGAATAACTTCATACCTTCGTGCTGGACAGTGGCACGCGACACGGTGGCGTTTTCAGTGGCCGCTCTGCATGCAGCCAAGGCGGAGATACAGCGGAAGGAGGGGGAGTTGGGATGCAAGGTGTCGTACACTACTGACATCTGGACTGCGCCCAATGGGAAAGCTTGGTTAGTTGTGACAGGTCACTGGATCGACGAGTCGTTTCAGCTACGCGAGGCACTGCTCGAGTTTCGCGAGCTACCAGGTCGCCATGGCATAGCACAGATCGCGCAGATCGTGGAGGACATGGTGGTGATGTGGGGGTTGGAGGGGCGTTGTCTGGGCCTCACCACAGACAACGCCTCAGCCAATATCGCCGCGTACAGACGGCTGTCGGAGGAGGGTGGTGGTCAGGCTTTCTTCAACTCCCGCCTGCACTTCAGGTATGAGTGTGTGTGGTGTGGGGGTATCGGGGTGGCAGGCCGCGAACGGCGGTGTGGGGGTTGAGTGGGGTCACTCGGAGTTTTAGTAATCTCCCACGCCACGTCAACCAAAGACCATGTGCCACTACCTCCCAAATCCCATGCCTGTGGTGCTATGGTTTGCAGGTGTGTGTCACATGTGGTCAACTTGGCAGTGCAGGCAGGACTGAAGGTGGAGGCCGTTCACGCCTTGTTGAAGGTGCTCAGAGACATGGCGTCCTGGGTCGGGTACTCGCCTCAACGCTCGTCGGCGTTTCTGGGACTTCAGCGGGGCCTGAACCAGCAGGCCCGTGTCAAGAAACCAGCCTTGAAGCTGGTGCAGGACAGTCCTACCCGTGGCATGTGTGTGGCATGTGTGCGGCATGTGTGTGGCATGGCATGTATGCGAGCATGTGTGCAGCATGTGTGTGGCATGCGTGCAGCATGTGTGTGCCATGTGACTATCGCTGGCAAATCACGCAAGGTGATTCTGATGTCAATCACACTATTGCGGAGGGTGGTTCTCCTGCGCGAAATTCAACAGTTTATCTACACCTCCCTTCGACTGGCAGGTAGAATGCTAGTCCTGCGTCGGTAGCTCGTGTTCACACTCGAGGTCAATTCACTTCTGTTCATACGATTGGTTCCTAGTTCCAGTCAAGACGCTTAGTACGCTTTTCAGCATTTCAAAGCACAATAGGATCGAGCTTAGAAAAGAGCGTTTTAATTGAATTGAATCATCACCTGGATACAACACGAGGCTATATATAGGCTCGACACAAGGACTCGTAACCAGGTGTTACGCGAAGGTGAGACAGGTTCAAGTTGCGCGTGTCAAGAAGCACCTGATCTCCGACTGCTACTGAATGATCACGTCGCTGACGATCGGCATACTGCTTCTGGGAGGTCTGCATCGTGGTGAGTTGTCGCTGAGTCTTCTCCCATAGCTGCTGCATGGTGGTGACGAAGTCATGTGCGGCTTGGACGTGTGCCGGTGTGGTTGGCTGCTGTGGTGTGAGTGGTTCCCGTCCGTAACACAGGTTGAAAGAAGTTTTCCCTGTGGCTGCATGTGATGCGTTGTTGTAAGCGAACTCTAGGGTCAGTAACTGTGTGTCCCAGTGGCTGACGTCGTCTTTGCAAGCTGTGCGTAGTAACTGTTCAACCACCTGATTGAGTCGCTCTATCTGTCCGTCAGTCTCTGGGTGGTATGCTGAGGACATCGCAAGTTTGGTCCCCAATAATCCCATGAGCTCCTTCCAGAAATTACTGGTGAATGTAGGGTCTCTGTCTGAGATAAGTGTAGCGGGAATGCCGTGGATGGCGATGATGTGGTCGAAGAAGAGGCGAGCAGTTGCTTCAGCTGTAGCCGTGGCGTTGGTCGGGATGAAGTGACCCATTTTGGAGAACTTATCGATCACTACGAGGATAGAATCATGCCCTCGTGAGGTCGAAGGAAGTCCCGTGATGAAGTCGAGGCTAACGACCTGCTATGGCTGCTCTGGTACGAGTAGTGGCTGAAGTAATCCTGCTTTTTTCTGCTTGCTGCTCTTCATCCGCTGGCACGTGTCGCATGAGGTGACGAACTGCTGCACGTCTGCTGCCATCCCGGGCCAGTAGTATTACTTCGCTATTCCCGCTAATATCTTGTTGCTCCCGAAGTGTCCCGCGTATGGTACGTCATGAAACTCCTCCAATAAGATCTGCCGTAGCGGGGCGTAATTCGGTACCTAAATCTTTCCTGAACCCTTCCTTAGAGCTAAGTCTTTCTCCCAATATAACCGCTTCTTGGTCTGTGCTGTAGCGATCTCTGCGTCCATGGAGTACCCATGTTGGAATAGACCCTTGAGCAGAGGGTTCATCCCGTCGAGTTGGATGCCTGCTACGTGTCCGGGGCGGCTCAATGCATGTGCTTTGTTGTGTAGCCCGGGCTTGTAGACGATGTTGTTGTGGAAGTGAGTTTCCAAGAAGTCCATCCACCGCACCTGTCGTCGTGAGAGCGTTGGCTGTGACTTCAGGTATTTGAGACTGCAGTGGTCAGTATAGACTGTGGTCTTGGCTCCCTCTAGGTAACACCTCCACGCTTTGAAGGCTATGACTATCGCTAAGGCTTCCTTGTCATGGATGGGGTAGTTCAGTTCTGCTCCATGTAGCTTCTTACTGAGGTAGGCGATGGGCTGCAAACCGCGTCCGTGATCCTGCATCAGTACTGCTCCGACTGCTTGGTCACTAGCATCTGCTTCCACCACGTAGTCCTTGTCTGGGTCCAGTAGGATGAACACTGGCGCTGTAGTCACTGCTGTCTGTAGCTGCTCCATGGCTTGCTAATGAGGAGTATTCCATTTGTAGGGCGTATCCTTTTTCAGTAGGTCGGTCAGTGGCGCTGCTATCTTAGCATACTGCGGCACGAACTTGTTGTAATAGTTGGCGCAGCCTAGGAACTGCTGCAACTCCTTCACGTTCTCCGGAACTTTCCACTTCTTGACGGCTTCGATCTTCCGCGGGTCCACGTGTACGCCCTCGGCACTCACCATGTGCCCGAGAGACTGCACCTTCTTCAAGGCGAAGTCGCTCTTCGACAGCTTCACGTAGAACTTGTTTTTCCGCAGGATCTCGAACACCTTCCGTAGATGCTCCACGTGCTCCTTCATGTTCTTGGAGTAGATGAGAATGGTATCCAGGTACACCACCACGCACTCGTCCAGCAGAGGCCGTAGGATGTGATTCATCTCCGCCTGAAACGTTGCTGGTGCGTTGCAGAGTCCTTACGGCATCACCACGTATTCGTAGGAGCCGTATCTAGTACAGAACGCCGTCTTGTAAATCGAGTTGTCTGCCATCTTGATCTGCCAGTAACCCGACCGTAGGTCCAGCTTTGAAAAGACTGTTGCTCCATGTAGTTGATCCAGTAGGTCGTCTATGCGCGGTATGGGATACTTATATTTTACTGTCTGTTTGTTCAGTGCGCGGTAGTCGATGCACATCCGTAAACTGCCGTCTAGATTTGGAGTGAAGAGAACTGGTGCACCGTAGGGAGAGGTGGATGGGCGGATCAGTTGTTTGTCCAGTAGATACTCTATCTGTTTCTTCATGTCTGTTAGTTCGGTCGGACTCAGTCGGTATGGTGCATGTGAGACGGGTTTCGCACCTGGTTCCTCCACGATCTCGTGCTCGTGGGTGCATGCTGGAGGTACGCCTGCAGGTAGGTCATCGGGCATTATGTCCTTGTACTGCTCCAAGACCTCCTTCACTGCTGCAGGTAGCTCCGAACTCGGCTTCTCCTCCTCTGCTGCTGCCATAACCAGTGCTAAGTAACCCGTGTTACTCTCGTTCACCGTCCGTTCAAATCGTGCCAATGTCGTTTCAGGAACGTTCCCTGTATCCGTCCAGCTTCGTAGTGCTATCCGCTTCCCGTTGTTGTAGATGCACACCTTCCTCTTGACCCAATCGATCTCGGGGTTGAACCGCTTCAAGAAATCTCGCCCCAAGATGAAATCTGATCCCTTGATGTTCGTGATCGGCAACGTCGGCTTCCACCTCAGCGCCCCTATGTGGAGCTGCAGTGATGCTTTGCCGTGGATGGGAAGTTTCGTACCATCCACCATCGTTGCCGTGAACTTGGTCTCCTCCGAAGATTCTCCAATTTTCTCCAACGTCCCGCGGACGCAGACCGAGTGAGACGCACCGCTGTCCACCAGTGCCTGGAGGCGTCGCCCGTTGCAGATCACCTCGAGTAGTAGTGGTTGTTGCTGCTCCGAGTAACCGTAGATGGTCTCGCTTATAGGATCGTAGGGTATGTCGAATAGATCATCCATCGGTCCTGCGCTCGAAGTTGCTGACTCCATATCAGTTTTCAACTGAGTAGGGTTAGAAGGATTTATCCTAGGCCGATTCAGCTTCGTCTGGGCCTGGAACCTTCCCCTAAGCCTTTGCAGCTGTGTAGGCTTCACCTGTGGGCAATGGGAAGCCTTAACACCGTGCTGCGGGGAGAGAATATCAACTCCTTGGAACGCACGACCCTTTTCAACGCTCCGGAGTGGTTTGCCCAACTTCTTAGGTACCTTAATAATGTCTGAAGGCTTTTTCTTGGCCTTGAAATCTCCCCTGAAATTTTTAAAGGCTTGAAAACCTCGAGAGGGAATATTCTTACTCTCGTGGGTGTTCGGCTGGAGTTTTCCGGTCGGTGCAGAGTCTTGTTTCGCGGAGCCTCCATTTGTCTCGGCGATTTCCCCTGTTGCCGGCCGGTCGTGGTGTTTTAAATTCGTGCCATCGTGTCCTCCTTTTTTCGCCATCGTGGATGTCGCACTGTTGTTGCCCTGCAGCTCTGCTCGTGCCTTCTTCATTTTCCAACACGCCAAGAGTCGATGTCCTGCTTCACCGCAAAATTCGCACTTCTCATATTTTGTCGGCCGCTGCTTCGCGTCGATCTTGTCGATATCCATCGGGTCGGCGGTCGTGGGTGGTGCCGATCGCTTTGTGCCAAATGATCGGTTCGGCACGTGGCGTCGTGTCTCAGGTTGACCTCGCGTCAGCGCATCGAATCTCTTTTCTGCACACACCATGTCGCGGTAGTTGTTGTAGTTCGCGGCAATCACCTGTCGGCGGACTTCCATTTTTAGCCCCTCAGTATACGCTTGGATTTTTTCCCCCTCGGTCAGGTCCGTTATTCGGTTGAAGAGGCTCTCTTTCTGCTGCGAGTACTGTGTTACACTGCCGAACTGTTTATGCCGATGAATATGCTGCCGCGCCATGTAGCTGGAGTTGATTGGTTCGAATCGTTGAATTAAAGCTTCCCGAAACTGCGTCCATAACCCCTCGCCTCGGACACTGTCGATGGTGGTGCCGTACTACAACGGCCTCATCGACGCCATGGAGGCCAAACTGGCAAAGGGGCCCTCGGCGCTGCTGAAGCCTTTAGTCAAAAAGGCGCTGAAAATCCTGAAGAAGTATGCGTACATCAGCAGCAACAAGGGCTGGATCGCCACCTTCCTGGATCCTTCCATGAAGGCGGCGTGGTTCGACGACCCCCACTGGGAGACGCAGCATTCAGAGACGGAGCGTAGGGATAGGCCGCGCCCACCGTCAAGCGTGGTGATCGCTTTGGTACGAGATCGGGTGGCCGAGTACCAGGCAGCGGTGAGGGAGCTGGCTCCTAGGCCCACGGCACTTCCCACGGTTGTAGAGGAGGATGAGGGAGAGAGGGGGGGGGAGGACGACGACGACCTGTACCTCCCTAGTCGCCAACGCCTCGCGGCGCGTCTGTCTGTGAGCCAGGCGGCGGGGGGGAAGTGGTCTTGTGCAGGATGATGAGGTCAGCAGGTACTTGTCCGAGAGGGTGCGGTACGACGTGTCAGCGTTAGAGTACTGGCGCACCTCCACGAACATGGAGACGCTGAAGAGGATGGCGAGGGATTATCTCGCGATTCCGGCCACGTCTGCGGCAAGCGAGCGCGTGTTCTCCTTGGGCCCCAACCACATTTCATTGAAGCGTCACCGGCTGAACTCCGAGAGGGCGCGATCCTGCATGATTCTGAGATCATGATATGGATCGCACCCTGGCCAGAGGATCGGTGAAGGCCGCCGCACGAAAGGGGTCGCAGCTCTGGAGATCGCTATTGAGGGCGAGGGTGCGGAGGAGGAGGAGGAGGAGGAGGAGGAGGAGGAGGAGGAGGAGGAGGAGGAGGAGGAGGAGGTGGAGGTAGAGGAGGAGGAGGAGGAGGAGGAGGAGGAGGAGGAGGAGGAGGAGGCGGAGGAGGAGGTGGAGGGGGAGGCAGCGGAGGAGGTGTTTGAGGACGCGGCGGAGGGGAGAGGGGCGGACGCAGCAGCGGGAGGTGGCGAGGATGGTGGCTTTGGAGGCGGGGCTGGGACTGGGATGTAGTTTTCATTTTGTTAGGGGGGTATGGAGGGACCCCTTTGTGACCCTACCATGTTGATTCCTTTGACTGTGGACATATTCTCTTGCGCACTATATTTATGCTCTTTTAAGTTGTTATAAACACGTCAAGGGTAAGTCAAATCAATACCAAAGCGGATACCCTTCTAGCTGGAACCCTTTACAGTGTTGTAGTTTATGTGTTTTATTTTGCAAAGCCCTCGAGGGCGAACTCGAACATGTTCTTGTTGAACATCTTCGTGTTCGCCTTAGTGTTCGAAATGTTCGCCTCTGAAGGCGAACTTCGAACACCCCTTTGGGCGAAAACCGTTCGGCGTTGTTCGAGCCAAGGCGAACGCGAACATGTTCGTGTTCGCCTCGTGCTCATCCCTAGTCACTCGTGTCAGCTGGAGGTGTTCCTGGTGGTGGTTGATGTTCATCTTCAGGAGCTCCCTCGTTCACAGCCGAGGGAGTTTCGTCAACGTTAGCTTCAGGCACGCGAGGAGGACCGCTCGCACTGACGGAGTTGGATGCGTTAGACGCTGTAGGTGTAGCGGGAGCATCTGGAGCGTCCGACAGAATGTCGTGGACGAATAGCAGAGCGTGTAGACCGGCAGACGGTGCAGATCGCGAGGGCCTTGCCACGGCGGAAAGCCTTTGACAAGGGGTCCTCCGTGACTTATGACCGCCATAAACTTGGGCGTTGGGGAACCATCTGTTGCAGATTTCGCAGATAGCACCTGGCAAAGAGCCCATGTGTTACGGATCCATCTAAGAGTCGAGAATCGGCCTATGAAGCAACTAGCTTGTTGGAAGCTTGTGAGCGCATTAAGTATACCGTCAAAGAAGGCTGTGACTGCAACACGGTCATCGCCAAAGCGCGAACGGTCCATGGCGGCTTGTATCACTGCACGACTGGCACTTGATCGTGGCGCTAATGGTAGGGACTGGCTAACGATGGTCGAGCAACGCGGCAGTGACACGGCACGATACTGACCGCCCACAGCACGTCATTCTCCTTTACTACAAGGCGTGTCGCCCCCGTTAAGAGCAACCATGTCGTGAGCAGAGGCATATGCAGTGGAGTTTAAGACGGTTGGTCGTGTGTGTGCGTTGCGAGCACGGTGAGAAGTACATGCCTCTTGATTCAAAAACTTAGGTTTTTGAACCGTGCGTGAGAGTCGAGGGGGATGAGGAAGAGCGGGAAGAGATCAGTTTGGTGCTGTGATTCTTTCGAGAATCGCTATAGGGGGGAAATCGCAATCACGTAGGTGAGCCCGAAGTGGTGCGCACCTCTAGAGCCTTAATCCAAACCAGGTAATGACAATGTACAGTTACATTTTAAATAGAGAGTCAAGTCATTGATGATTATTAAACAATCATACTTTAAGGCCTGCCCAAGAACAACCCCTACTTGACAACGGTAACGTTTAAAAACCCTCCAAGTTCTCCACTGTGGTCTGGAAACATACGAGAAGCACGCAAGAACTCCGTGCCCTAACGTATGATTGTTGCATGTACCGAATATGTTTATCGTCACTTCTCACGCGGTTTAGTGGACCTAAACGCACCGTGCTGAATGAAGATGCCAGAATGGAGCCCAATCACATACAATACCACAACGGTTTCAACGTCGGATGCAAACCAATCCCTTGATTCCGGCATCGTCGCCCTGTCTGAACAAGGCTATCGATAATGCATCACCGCTTTTGCGTTGGGCATGTGCTTCATACCACTCCTTCTAAGCACCTTGTGGAATGTCTGTGCAAGAATGGAGCCCAATCCAATACAATACCACAACGGTTTCAACGTCGGATGCAAACCAATCCCTTGATCCCTTGATTCACCATGTCGTGCAACACATAGGTCTGAACGCTGCAACATCGCCTTGTCTAAACAAAGCTGTCGATAACGCATCACCACTAGTGCGTTGGGCATGTGCTTCATACCACTCCTTCTAAGCACCTTGTTGAATGTCCGTGCAAGTTTGGAGCCCAATCCAACACCATACCACAACGGTTTTGTGAGGATCTGGTTCAGGAAAGATGAATCTATTGAATGAATCACCTGGGTACAAGGCGAGGCTATATATAGGCTCGACACAAAGGCAGTAACCCGGGTGTTACTAGAAGGTTCCGCGGGTCGCGAAGCGTCCCGAACGGGTCCTTCCCGAATTCGGTAGAAGGCAATTCGGTGGCAACCGAAAAGCCTAGAATTCGGTGCACGCAACCTAGTTCGGTGCCTACAACTATAATATCAATAGTAAAGGCAACGAACCTAGGAAATCAAGCAAAAGCATGCAAGAAAAAAAAAGCTAAGCTAGTAATAGCATAATAAAGTCCGGGCAAGCTAGCAAAGCCAGCATAAGCCGTCGTACTCTCACACGTCCCCCCCTCAAAGCTGGGTGGCGTGAGAAACACCCTGCTTGACAAGATAGTCCTTGAGAGCACGACGTGCGTTGCCCATATCAGCTTTTGCAACCCAACTGTCCTTCGATGGGTCATATCACTTCCAGCGTATTAGGAACTCGAGCGTGTTGCCATGTCTGCGTCGATGAGCGAAAACTTTTTCCACCTCGTACTCTGGTTCATCCTGTACGAGAACAGGTGGTGGTGGCGGTAGCTGCCGTCCCTGGAACTGTTGGTTGGGGTTTTTGTAGGGTTTTAGTAGCTGAACATGGAAAGCGTTGTGAAGCTTCCACGTAGTAGGTAAGCGCAAGCGGAATGTTACTTGTGTCATCTGTGCCTCAACGAGAAAAGGACCACAGAAGCGAGGCCGTAGCTTGGAAGGTAGGTGAGACAGGTTCAAGTTGCGCGTGTCAAGAAGCACCTGATCTCCAACTACTACTGAATGGTCACGTCGCTGGCGATCGGCATACTGCTTCTGGGAGGTCTGCATCGTGGTGAGACGTCGCTGGGTCTTCTCCCGTAGCTGCTGCATGGTGGTGACAAAGTCATGTGCGGCTTGGACGTGTGCCGGTGTGGTTGGTTGCTGTGGTGTAAGTGGTTCCCGTCCGTAGCACAGGAAGAAAGGAGTTTTCCCTGTGGCCGCATGTGACACGTTGTTGTAAGCGAACTCTAGGGTCGGTAACTGTGTGTCCCAGTGGCTGACATCGTCTTTGCAAGCTGTGCGCAGTAAGTGTTGAACCACTTGATTGAGTAGCTCTTTCTGTCCGTCAGTCGGGGGGTGGTATGCTGAAGACATCGCAAGCTTTGTCCCCAACAATACCATGTGTTCCCTCCAGAACTTACTAGTGAACTTAGGGTCTTTGTCTAAGATAAGCGTAGTGGGGATGCCGTGGATGGTGATGATGTGGTTGAAGAAGAGGCGAGCAGTTACTTCAGCTGTAGCCGTGGTGTTGGTCGGGATGAAGTGACCAATTTTGGAGAACTTGTCGATCACCACGAGTATAGCGTCACGCCCTCGTGAGGTCGAAGGAAGTCCTGTGATGAAGTCGAAGCTAACGACCTGCCATGGCTGCTCCAGTATGGGTAGAGGCTGAAGTAACCCTGCTTTTTTTTGCTTGCTACTCTTCATCCGCTGGCACGTGTCGCATGAGGCGACGAACTGCTGCACGTCTGCTGCCATCCCGGGCCAGTAGTAATACTTCGCTATCCCTGCTAAAGACTTGTTGCTCCCGAAATGTCCCGCGTACTATCCGTCGTGAAACTCCTCCAGCAGAATCTGTCGGGGCGGGGCATAGTTCGGTACCCAAGTCTTTCCTGATTCCTTTCTTACAGCTAAGTCCTTCTCCCACTGTAACAGCTTCTGATTCTCTGCCGTAGTAATCTCTGCGTCCACAGAGTACCCATGATGGAATAGACCCTTGAGCAGAGGGTTCATCCTGTTGAGCTGAATGCCTGCTATATGTCCGGGGTGGCTCAACGCGTCTGCTTTGTTGTGTAGCCCGGACTTGTAGACGATGTCGTAGTGGAAGTGGGTCTCCAAGAAGTCCAACCACCGCACCTGTCGTCGTCAGAGCGTCGGCTGCGACTTCAGGTATTTGAGGCTGCAGTAGTCAGTGTAAACTGTAGTCTTGGCTCCCTCTAGGTAACACCTCCACGCCTTGAATACTGTGAATATCAATCAAGCTTCATTGTGATGGATTGGGTGATTCAATTCTGCTCCGTGTAGCTTCTTACTGAGGTAGGCGATGGGCTGCAAACTGCGTCCGTGATGCTGCATCAGTGCTGCTCCGACTGCTTGGTCACTCGCATCTGCTTGCACCACGTAGTCTCTGTCTGGATCTGGTAGGATGAGTACTGGCACTGTAGTCAGTGCTGTCTGTAGCTGCTCCATGGCTTGTTGTTGAGGAGTATCCCATTTGTAGGGCGTATCCTTGTTGTAGTAGTTGGCAAAGCCTAGGAACTGCTGCAACTCCTTCACGTTCTCAGGAACATTCCCTATATCCGTCCAGCTTCGCAGCTCCACTCGTTTTCCGTTGTTGTAGATGCACGTTTCCCGTTGTTGTAGATGCACGTTTTCCGCTTCAGAAAATCACACCCCAAGATGAAATCTAATCCCTTGATGTTCGTGATCAGCAACGTCGGCTTCCACCTCAACGCCCCTATCTGCAGCTGCAGTGTTGACTCGCCGTAGATGGGAAGCTTCGTACCGTCCACCATCGTTCGTAAACTAGGTCTCTTCTGATGACTCTCCAATTTTCTCCAACGTCCCGCGGTCGCACACCGAGTGGGACGCACCACTGTCCACCAGGGCCTGGAGGCGACGCCCGTTGCAGATCCCCTCGAGTACTAGTGGTTTCTCCTGCTCCGAGTAGCCGTAGATGGTATCACTTATAGGATCGTAGGGTACGTCGAATATGTCATCCCTAGGTCCTGCGCTCGAAGATGCAGCTTCAATATCAGATTTCAATTGAGAAATGTTAGAAGGATTTATCCGAGGCCGATTCAGCTTCTCCTGGGCCTGGAACCTTCCCCTAAGCCTTTGCAGCTGTGTAGGCTTCGTCTGTGGGGAACAGGGAGCCTTTGAACAGTGCTGCTGGG